TAGTTGGAGAATGCAAGTCATTGTAATTTTGGGAATTATGTCTTATCCTTGGTCTCCCATTCATATTTAACATTACATCCTCTGTCTTTCTCTCTCTTACACACACACACACACACACACACACACACACACACACACAGATACACACATACTTTCTCTCTTTCTCTTCTCTCCCCTCACCTTCCTAGCAGTCAACAGTGAGCAGCTTTATCCCCTCATACCCTTCATGCCCCTCTTTCATGGCATATCAGCTCACCGCAGATCCAGAAACACAGAACCAACAACCACACAGTGAACTCTCAGAAACTGAGAGACCAGTTACCCTTTGCTCCTATAAGTTGTTTGTTACAGTGACCAAAGTTAAAGCCACTATCTAATTATTCTTCATTGTCTCCGTTGTATTGCTTTCTGTAGCTTTCTTCAGTGATCCTCACTGCCTATTGTTATAAGTGTTTCCAGAATGCAGGAGACACTGAGAAAAATTCATAGCTACAATCTGGTATGTGCTTAGAAGATCTCCTTCAGACAGCACACACCACCACGCTGCTGCATTCATCTCCTTCAGATGGGAAATGGTGTGTTCATGATCAACGGAGGCTCTCAGGTAGGCAAGCCCAGTAAGGATACCATTCTGTTTGTGTGGGTACCAAAGTAGAGAATCACACACTGGAACACAAGGTATATGGATTCCTCCCATCCCTCAACAAGTGTGTGGCTTTCAATATGAAAACAGAGTGCTGCTTTGGGGATGCTAGAGCCAAGACCACAAGCCTTCTTTCACAGCAGTGTATGTTCACACACCTTCAGCTCACCTCCGTCTGCCTAAAGACCTTGAATCTTGTCTCTTGGAGATCACAGTGGCTAATGCTCATGAACTGAACCAAGTTCTTCCTCTGAAGCTGAGAAGTCATCCATTCCATGACCACTCACTGTCATGGAGCCTTTTCCAGGAGAAGCTCCGAGTTATCCCGTGATCCGGATCCTCCCCTTGTCCTTCTCCTCACAACTGCTTCAGCCTGTATTTTCCCTCATGTATTTTTTCAAATATCCACATTCTTATGACAATAAAATGACAAACAGCAGAAATTTAGATAGAATACCATATCTCTTCCCATTTACAGCCAGTTTCCTTTAAAGAAAATAAAATCTCTGATTCCTCCAGCTCCTATAAAGAGCATTCTGCATCCAAAAATGTTCTGAAGTTGCTCTGAGGCAAAGAGCTTCTCATTACCAATTCCAACATCTTTTTTCTGGTCTCCAGTGTTGTCTGATGTTAGGGTTTTTGAGGCAGAAGAGTACCTTGGCAGATCAAGGTCAAGAAAGCCACAGGGACCGTATCACCCAACAGATCTCACTCAAGAGATTTACTGGGGTGGGGTAAGCAAAAGACCACCTCTGAGTGGGGATAAGAGAAATGGGGAAAGAGAGAGACCAAGAAAGAGATAGAGAAATGAAGAAATACAGAGACAAACAGAGGGCTGTGGTAAGAGCGGTTGGAGACTGGTGATGGCTTGACTGCTGGTGCTGAGTCCCTGAGGGTGGGCGGGCGGGAGGGGCACAGACCTGGTTCCTAGCAACTAACACCTCTGATGACTTTTGTGTGACTTGACCTCATGCTCCCAGCATGACTCTCTCTACAAGTCTGCCTGGAGTCTTAGCTTTCTGAGGGCCATTCTTTCCTTACTGCTTCTTGAATGGTGGCAAACTTAATGAGGAAAGATGGTGCCGAGTTTAAGGGAAAACAAAAAACTGTCTCACAACAACTATTTTTTGGGGAAGGCCTTGCAACTTTTTTCTTGGTTTGGACTCTCTCCTTTTTGACGTGGATCCCGCATGCAGAGCAATCCAGCTGCCTGATGCGTGGTATCCATGACAGAGCACTCTTTCTATATTCAGACATTTGACAAATACAAGTTCGTTTCTGATTGCTGTAGCTGTGACTGTGTTTTCAATAGTGAGGTGATACTTGCGGACTTCTCAGATCACAATGGTGGTATGTGTAACATCCGTTGTCTGTCCGCTGATGGTTTCCATAGATACTCTTGGTTGATTGTTGATTGTGTTCAGCTAAAATCCTGTAAGGCTTGTAGACAGAGAAACTGCAGTGACTAGACAAATTTTCTTTTAATGAAATATGGGAGCTGGGTAGATGGCTCAGTGCATAAAATGTTTATTATATTATATAAAGATAGGAGTTCAAATTCCTAGAACTCACATAAATATTGGACAGACATGGAGGCCTGCCAGTGATTCCAACACTCAGAAAGCAGAGGCAGAGCAAGCTGGCTAGCTAGACTAGCATCCTTGAGCTCTGGGTTCCATTGAGAGTTTCTGTTTCAATGGATAAGGTGGGGAGTGATTAGGCAAGAACCCCCGTGTCATTCTCAGGCTCCCATATAAACACATACACATGCAAACTGCATATACACATATGCATACTACACACAGAGACATACAAGAAAAGAAACATGCAAGTGAAGTAAGCAAATTTGTCTCCTTAAGTGTTTTAAGAAGGTCTCTTGCTGTCCCAGGGTCTATGACAGGGAAAATTACAGTGTATTATTGAAAAGATGTTAATTAGCTTCCATAGCTGGGGTGATGAGACAGTGAAATATCATAACTACCCAGAATCTACAACCCCAGCAGAATTCTCGCCTATGGCAGTGAATAATAGCTATACTCAGCATTAGTCTGTTAGTAAATATTTAACAGATTTTTTTTTGTTTGTTTAAAAAATAGCAGATATTTGCTGAGCCAGTCTCTTTGGCTGAGCCATCTTTGCTGTTATGCACGTTATGGACTTGCTTTTCCACATTTCTACTTGGGCCTTCAGGATCAAGACATCAGGGAACTTTCCACTCATTCTCACAGCCAACTGCTGAAGGGGCCTGGACTTCCAATAGCTAAATGAGGAAAGCAGGAAACTCAAGAAGATGAGAAGCAAGAGCTTAAAGTGCCAGAGAAGATTCCACCACACACCCCATCCCACCCATCCCCTGCCCCGCTCCACAGCTGCACACAGTAAACAGGCCCTCTAGGAAAGATCATTGACAGCATCCTGAGGGTCATCTGGACAACACCTATCTAAATCTTTTCTTTGCCTTTGGCTTTGCAACGATGGTAAGTGTTCAGTCTTAAACCTGGGACAAATGGCTGAGGTGCCTATTGAACATATCAAAGAGAACCTGTCACCAGGTTCTCCCAGCATCTTTCAATACTGACCCAAACAGGGCCCTCCAAGCTGGCATATCCTGCCCTCTACCCTTGCTACGTCCCAAGTTCGGACGCCCAAAACATCACCACAAGACCGTATCTGATGCAAAAGCAAAGAGTCTTTATTGTGAGTTGACTCAGGTTCCTCCGTCTGTGGGAAGAGGCAGCAGCAGCAATGGCCAATAGCATCAACAGGAACAGTGCAAGAGACACCCCAGTGGCAAAAAGTGGGGAAGGTTAATTTCAAGCCTTTGGGCTTGTTATTGGCTGCCCCGCAGTGGGTTGCTGGGGGGGGGGGTGGGTTCCAGACTTCTAGATTTGGGATTGGCGGCCTCATGATATAAGGGGATGTCTAGACCTGAGGGGAATTCTCAACTGCCAGTAATTGCCTGAGGGGAAGTTCAAACTTCTAGGCACTCAGCGATTGGTCTACTTTCCCTGCACAGGGATTGGCTCGTTTTGTGTCAGAGGCAAAGGTGGCTCTGATTTGATTCTAAGGCCAAATAATGTTTCTTTGGGTCTTTTTAGCTTTTTGACTGTAATTTTTGGACGAGGGCAAATATCATTGATATGCTCTGAACCTAGGGGCTTAGGGCGTTGTTTTGGTCCTGGTTTCAGGGTCTGGGGATTTTTCTCGGGCTCTAGGTTCAGGGATAAAATGTCTTTCCCCCTGGCTCTGGTACTGCTTTCAGGGTGTGTTCTTTTCCCTGGATCTGAACTGGGAGCCAGGCTGCTTGGGGGTTGTGCTAGGGCTATTGACTCACTGAATCTGTGGGGGTTTGGGTCTCTCACCCTGAACTTCTTTAGCCCAAGGGCTGGGCTGCCCTTTCCCTAGCTGCCCTTCCCTTATAATCCAACTATTTTGGATATCTAGGCCTTTTAGGCCTCCTGGCTGTTGCATCCGGTTCTCTTCTCTCCCCTTCCCCATGCCCTCTCCATCTCTCCTCACACGGCTCAATGTCATGGCCACTCTGGATGCTCCCAGATGTCCCTGTCTCTGTCTATGCTCTCCCACATATCTATAATAAACTTCCTCCTCCACCACACCTAGGAGCTGTCATGTCCTTTCCTCTTTGTTTCTTTTTCACTATATTAAGAATCCATTTTGATCAAAGTTTAGGGGTCAAGCTAAAGGGTTTTGTGAAATGGAAACATAACAAAAGCCTGTAGCTTTGCCAAACAAAACTTCCCATATCCCTTCACCACAATAATAGAACTTCCAACAATAGTGAAAACACACTCTGAGAACAGGGACACTGGTACCACCCTCATTTTCAGGTCTGCTGTGTCATTCTTTTCTGGCTTTCCAGGTCAGTGGAAGGAGGCTCACTGAACGTTCAGCTTTGATTTCGTGCAGCCCATGGCAGCCACTGCAAAACACACGTCATTACTGAAGACTTACTGGGTGATTACTGTGGCATTTCTTTCCACTAAGTTAAATGAATTCAGATTTTAAAAACCAAAGCTGTTAAACACCACTAATTATAAATTTATCATTTTGGAAGGACTCCATGTTACTTTAAACTCTATTGAGTTATTTAAACTCAATTAGATTAAATTCACTGAATTGATATGTGCTAAGGTAGATTTTTAAAGACTATACCAGAAAGGAATATAAACTGTCCATGATAAAACTTATAATGTAGGATAATAAATATATATAAATATAAATGAAATTTATTACTAAAATGAACGTCACTGATTTCTTTATACTTATTCAATGTGGGTACAGGAAATTTTTTAAATTATCTGAAACATGATGTTTGAAATCCCAGCACTTGGAAATTTGAGATGGGAGAATCAGGACTGCAGTGCAGACTGGGTAATAGGACATCTAATTAAAGAGAGAGAAGAGGAAGAGGAGGAAGAAGCAGGGGGACATAAGCCACTACATAAGTGGCTTTCAGGAGTCTCACAGTGATCAGGATGAAGCAGTGAACACAGGGAAGCCATGCTGTAGGTATAAGGCTCAACTTTGATAGCATAAATTCAATTCCAAGATAATTCCAAGATAATCCTCTCTTTCCGGATTTACAAAGTAAAAGTAAAAAAAAAAAGATGCTTATCTTGGTGTCATTGCTAGTTCTCTATATAGTATCCATGAGAATATCAGATAAAGCTGCCTTCAGGGTGGTGGGTTTGATGACTGGGTTGGCAGAACAGAAGAGACGGCATAGTCAAGTAAGGGCACATTCCAGGGTCCAGAACGTATTCAAAGGACCTAGAGTGTGCTGCTTTACCAAAAGACTTTCAGATTTGATCTCCATGGTTTCCATCAATCAAATGCTATGAGGCACTAATGATATTTGCTCAATACTAGCTATCTCCAAATTAGAGAAAGTAAGATTGAAGGCTAAATGGGTTAAAACTTAGTAAGGTTTAGTGCTTCAGAACTGGCATCCAGATAAATATGTGGCCTTGGTGATTATAACTGGGGAGTGGCTGCAGCCATAGCCAAGACAGTATATGAGAAAAAGCATATTTGTCATCTGTAAAAACTAGAGTGTTGCAAATATATGTATGCAGGTATATATATATTTTCTTTTCCTTTTGGTTTTTTGAGACGGTTTCTCTGTGTAGTCCTGGCTGTTCTAGAACTTGTTCTGCAGATCAGGCTGGCCTCGAACTCACAAAGATCCACATACCTCTGCTTCCTGAGTGCTGGGATTAAAGGCATACAACACCTCCTCGCTGAGTCTGTCTCTCTCTAATGCTGTATCATTTCATCCATTTTTTTGTATTGAAAAGAGATAATCCCCTAATGGTGGTGTTTCTTTTTCCCTATGACCTCAGGTAGTTGGATGGGTAGACTGGCTGAGGATGGATTGAGTAATATGTGGAATCCATGCTTGCTGTTTTATAAGGAGTTATTTGCATTTGAAATGGCAAAATTGTGTGACACACAGCAAGTTTATAAGCCTGTCAAAGCCCATGCCATCAGGCAATGCAAAACTTCTATGGCTGTGTGTTTAGCTAATACCCGCTGGTCAGCTAACCACCCATGGCACTGTACATGCTCGCCTTCACTTTTTCCGTCTATATTTTTTCTCGTCCAGCTTTTTTAGAAAAGTTATTCCAATTTCTGTCACACTGTCGCCTTTCAGTCTGTCTTGCAAGAATGTAACTTCAGCAGCCAAATGAACCTAGAAAAGAAAAAAAAAAACAGGCTGTGTCATTTAAAAAAAAAACAATTTTTTTTTCAAAATCTATTTTTTCCTGTCCTTCTCTTTTGATAAGAAACATCTGTTTTGTGAATAAAGAACCTTGAACTGTGTTCTCCAGAGATGTCTGAACCACACGTCATCAGTAGCGCGTGAGCACTGGAGGAAGGGTGAACTGTCCTACCCATCTCAGAAAGAATGCAAATTTCTGACTCAGAGATAGACCTCACTCTGGGTCCCTGGCTAAGCGGAACTTCCGAGGAGAAATGGGTCTTTATAGGATTCCTCTCAAGCTGACTTGCCATAAAACATTCTGTCATTAGCTAAACAATATAATCGCTTATTCTAACAACATTTAGCAATTGCCTATGGCCTTGAGAGCCTTGAAAAATACTGACTAAATACATTATAAATATAAGATTAGATATTGAATTACAGGCATGAATATTTGATGGCCAGGCCTACTTTTCAACTTGAAAGCATTTCCCATTTCCCAGACAATGAAGTAAACCCAAGGGCTTACTTCTCTATTCATTAAAATGTGTTCATGTAAGAGCAGCATAGTCTTGCTGACCTATTTTCAATAGAGTATCTGATCAGAGTTATTTTTAGTCATTGGGATAAAGAAGATAAATAAGTGAGGGTAGCTGGTGGAAGAGAGTAGTAAGTGAAAAGCTCCTGGGTCTAGCCAACAATTAATTAATATTTATTGAACCTTACCTGACTCACCCCTCCCACATAAAGAACTCCTAGGCAATGAACCTGGATTTTCTAATCCACAGGCCTCCAAATGTCAGATCATCTGGCTCATAAAGAGTGCAAAATCCTTGCCTCATGATACCCACTGTCTTAGTTATGGTTTCTATGGTTGTGAAGAGACACCATGGCCACAGCAATTCTTATAAAGGAAAACATTTAACTGGGGTGGTGGCTTACAGTTCAGAGGTTCAGTCTATTATCATTATGGTGGGACATGGGGACATACAGGCACACATGGTGCTGGAGAAGGATCTGAGAGTCCTACGTCTTGCAGCCAACAGAAAGTGGACTGTGTGTCACACTGAATGAAGCTTGAGCAAAGGAGACCTCAAAGCCTACCCCCACAGTGACACACTTCCTCTAACAAGGCCACACCTACTCCAACAAAGTCACTCCACACCTACTCAACAAAGTCTTATGAGGGCGAATTACATTCAAACTATCACACCCATCATCCAGTGAAAGAAAGTAATGAATGGTTTCCAAATATAGGGTCTATAATTAATCTCTGAATTTTCTTCTCTATGGTTTTTTTGTGTCTTAGAAAATATAATAGAAAATTTATTAAAGAAACACACAGACTACTTCTGCTGAAGCTCTTTGGACATGTGAGACCACTTGTGGTCAGCACATATGGTCAAAAACAATTAGCCATGAAAGCTGGTGACTTCTTTATCCTATTCTTATTTTAGTTACATGGTTACCCCTTTTAGTGTAACCTTCTGTAATTCTTCTCTTCCCTGTCCTTGATATAATAATGCTTACTGGTGCAGATAAGATCTAACATAATCTAGGGTACTATATCATGAAGGATCTGCAAGGAAGATACATGCAGTTATCTCCATTGTTTTACACTTTGGGGGTATCAGTTACTTTATCCCTCCCTTAATTTCCACAGATAAAATTATATGCATGGATCCCTATTGACCAGATCAATACCACAGGTTTAGAATGGTTAAGAGCTCATTCTAATAAAGAAGATTCTGGAAAAACAAGACTGCTGGCTGTTACCTCTTCATCAGCTGCTACAGCCTCATCAGTCTGACAGATTCTCTTATCTCTCATCTTTTCTTCATCACAACCTCTACCAAGGCCCTCTCCAAAGCCTTGGCAAGTGGTATTATGTTATGGGATAATCTTTTGTACACTGTGAAGATGTGTCTTTTCCTTCTGTTTGTTTAATGAAAACCTGAAGATCCAATATCTCGGCAGGATTTTGGGGGCAGAGGGGATGCAGGGAAGAAGAAGGGCAGAGTCACGGGAGTTACCAGTCACATGCAGAGGAAACAGGAGGTGAATGTGCCATGGTGAAAAGAGATTCCACCACATGGTAGAGTGTATATAAGAAATGTGGGTCAATTTAAGATGTAAGAGCTAGTCAGTAACAAGCCTAAGCTGTTGACCAAGCATATATGATTAATAATAAATCTCTGTGTGGTTATTTGGAAGCAGGTGGTTCTGATGAAAAACTCCATCTACAGGGCTAACTGTCTAGAGTTGGTCTTGTTAGTTTTCTTGAAATACTCGGCTTTCTGGTTTCTGTGACGCCATCCATTGCTTTCTATCAATTTCCTTCTTCTGAATACTCCATATTGCTGCCCTCTGTAGTCCTTGGGTGCTCTGTTCAACTCTATATTTTTGTTTTGTTTCCTAGAGTTCTAACCATGCTTGCCTCTCTTCCCGCTACACAGAATCTCCTTAGGTATTTCTGTTCGTTTGACACCTCTTCAGTCATATTCCACAAGCACATATAAACAACTGGGACAAGGCATGGTAGCAAACACCTGTAATCCCAGGACTCTGAGGCTGAGGCAGGAGGATCATGAGTTTGAGGCCAGCCTGTGCTACATGATGAGAACTTGTCTGTAAATAAATGAATAAAAAAGAGACAACTTCTTTCGGAAATCCTCACTGTGTGTTTGTCGAACATCTCAGCATTAGCAGGTTCAAAACTGAGCTCCCCCCTTGTCAATTTCAACCCTCTCAGTTTTGTTCTATTGGTTAATACTATGATTTCCCCTACGGGTTTGTTCAGAAACCTGAAGGACATTTTTTCCATCTTTCTTTTTTCAATTTTGTCCCTTTCTGCCAGCTGACATCTGAGTTTTGACTGTTCTGCCCTGACAAGTACTGGTCCAGTGAGTTGCCTCTTGATTACTGCTGCCGGGGATGTCTTCTGGCTTTCTTTGAGGTTCCCAGCACCAGCTATCTGTTCTCCTCTCTCCCTCAGCATTCTCTCTTTAGTGTATACTCTCATCTGATTGACAAGGGACTGGAATTTCTAGAATGTAAATTTCAGGCTCTTATTTTCTTGATTATGAACCTGCATCTGCTCTGGTACCTTCAATGTAGAAGACTGAATTTCTGGGCTTGTCATGAAGGCCTTGACCTAACTCCCATTGTTCCTTAGAAAGTCAGTACAGGGTTTCTATCAAGACTGTCCAGATTCTTTCTTACTCCAGGTCTCCCTATACCCCTTTATCACACTTATTTGCACATGGCTTCTTAAACTAGACAGGAGATTCTCTGTATCTTGTCCATCTTTGCAGGCTCAGTCCCAGGCCCCTTACGGATGCTAATAACTGTCTCAGTTAAAGCAATGAATACCTTAGGTGTGAAAGTCAGCCTGCACTGACCTGTACCTCCTGTACCACAGGTCCTCAGCAATTCCCCTCCCACATAGCCCCAAGGTTGGCAGCTCAGACTGCCATGCTGTGATTATATCTACAAAGAGGTCTAAGTGGCAAGGAACTTTCTGACGCTTCCACACAGTGGCCTGCAAGGCACTGACACCGTGTGAACCTGTGGGTGGTTTGTCTAGCATCAGCAAGTCTGCAGAGGCTACAGCTGAGGCTGCACATAAGCTAAGCCGCGAGAGATCACCACCAACCACAACTGCGTGACCTACTCTGCCCCTCTTTCCCTTTTTATTAATCAGTTTAGTGTGTGTGCGCTCTCACATACACATGTACCGCAGAGTGTGAAGGCGTCAGCTCGCTCCTTATACCATGCGGGTTCAAAGAACTGCATTCAGGCTACCAGGCTTAACGGCACATGCCGAGCCATCTCCCAGATTTCTTTTTTTTTCTCTCTGGCAAAAGTCCTTAGTCTTCCATTTCACTTCTAAAATTTGAATACGGAACCGTACTGAGTTACCCAGGATGGTGCTGAATTTGCTTTCTATAGCACAAACTTGGCCCCGAACCTACAATCCTGATCCTCCTATGGTACCTCCCAAGGAGCTGAGCTGACAGGCTTGCAGTAACGGGCCTCGCTCAATCCCGGACGTCCCATCTTTAGAGACTGTGCATTCCTTTGAGGCTGGTACACTTTGAGAACAGCGCCGGATGGCTAACGCGCATGGCGAAGATGAAACACGTGCTTTACCATCTCCAGGCCGCCTCGGATGACCCCACAGAGCAGGCCGCAGTAGCAGAGCGCAGATCGTCCAGCAGGCAGCTCTTCCACAAACTCTGCCAGAGGATTCTTGTCTAGAATCAGGGAGAATTCGTTCCGGCTTGAATTGTGACAGGCCACGCTCGGCGTGATACCCAAGTACATCTTGAAAGCAACCTGATAAAGAGCGAGAAGATGGCAGCATTTAGTCTCACACAGAAGTCCACTTCCCAGGCATTGTAGCACGGCATCAAGCTTGCCAGGCTGAGTCTGCAGCCAGGGTATCTGTGCGCACACGTTTCTTTGCAGTTTACTGGCCTTCTGCCTTGGGAGACTCTTAAATTATTTTTTTTATTCTTCTAGAATATCCTACAGTACTAGGCTTTGTGGAACAATGTGTTTTGTAAAAAGAAAATATTATTTCTAAAAATCATTGGAGAAAACGCACCAACACAGCATTGTGGTATATGCCACACTGATCATGGCAAACCATGAGATTCAGAGTTACAAGGGGTTCCGAGCGTATTCCACAATAGGAGGGCACTGGTCTGAGAATATGCTGTGCCATGGGGCAGATGAGAGACAAGAATGTGGTTTTGGACACAGAATTATAATGTAGATGTTGATCTTCGAGGAGGAGCCAGGGGCAGTGGTGGGAGCAACATAAATGTGTGATAATGCAATTGTCGAAAGTGTCTGTTGTGCTGTAGGACGCCAAGAACCCCGCAGCACAGAAACAGAAGAGACCTTGGACGCTCCTTCCGTTCCTCACAGCCTTTCCTTTCTGTCTGTCTTTGTTTTTAAGCGTATCTTAAGCAGGGCTGAAACTCACTTCTGTTTGAAACATTACTTTACATTTATTTGCTGTGTGTGTGCATGTGTGTGCTTGGCACACATCAGTGGACAAGAAGAAGCTGGTTCCCTGTCCCACCAGGCGGGTTCTAAGGCTAGAACTTGGACCCTCAGGCTTACTAGAATTCATCTTTACTCCATTAGCCTTCTCACCAGCCCCACTGTTACTTTTGAAGCACAAGTTTTACAAATGTGTGATCTGGTACTTGAAGAAGTAAAAGCGACAGCAAAGATTGTGGCCTTCTAGTGCCTGACTCCCAATCCAAGGCAATTCCTTTTCACCAAACACGTAGGCCCAGCCTCTAAAGCTTATTAATGGAAATTTGTCAGCTTGATGTGCTGCCATCATTCCAAGGCCTTAATTCGCTTAATTTTAAAATTAAGAGCAGCATGAGAGAAATGGAAGCAATTTTCTTAAATTATTTATAATTTGAAGTAGAAAAAATGTCCATTCATTTGTTCATTTGGTTCAATTTAATAGGCTCATATGGAGGAGCGCCTGCCACAGTGTAAATTCAGTAGTCACTTGCAAATCAAGCTACCGAATGAGTTTGCAGTCTACATTCAGCACCATGATTAGCCTAGAACACATGAGCCTGGAGAGAGCTAGCATTTGACAAGTGGACAAATGGGGCAGAGACACTTTAGACAGAAACATGTCATGAAACGCCATGCTGAGGTTCAGCAAAGGTTCAAATCCACCACTGGGCAGCTGGGAGGCCTGAAGATGCCCTCATGTAGACTCCATATCTGCTTTAGAAGGATTTTCTTTGTGTCAAAATAATCAAGATCTGAATCAAGAAGTTATATGAAGAGAAAAGAGGGCTTCTCTTTTTCTCTGAAAGTTCAGTTAGTTACTAGCCTTCCCTCATAAATTCCAATCCTAAACGGTGTTTCAAGTCTTTAGTGCAAGCCCTTTTAGGACGCCTGAACCGCTGTCTATCAGATCTTAGGGCACAGAGCAAGAGAAGAAACCTACGGTGAAATGCTGGGTTTGGAGATTGGATTGACTACTAGTCAATCAGTGGCTGAAATCCATTTCCACGAGGGCCGAGTCTCCTGCTGGAAATTTTCTGTACCATAATTTGTGTGAGAACTTTTGATTTGCAATCAAAAGCCCATCGACAGAATACTAATAGGATCCTGTGCACTTTGCTTTTCATCTTCCGTGTTTCGGCTGCCCTCAAGTGTCAGCATTCACCAGTAGGAGGCATTATCTGAACGTTGTTGGGAAATTAGCATTCCTGGGGAATGACATTGTTTCCTTATCTGGCTGGAGGCAGACAGAGGAGGACTGTTGTTTCAAAAGGGCTCCACCCTCTACAGTCACAGCCACAGTCACTGTGCTAAAACCAAGGCAAACGCTCTTTCCTCTTCCCCTCTTCGTGTGTCTCCAACATGGATGCTTTTCAGAGTATTCTGAAATTCTTTCTTAACCAAAAGACGGCTATTGGCTACAGCTTCATGGCTTTGCTGACCCTGGGAAGTGAGCGTCTCTTCTCACTAGTGGCGTTTAAGTGCCCCTGCAGCACCGAGAACACAGCCTATGGGCTGGTTTTCCTCTTTGCCCCTGCCTGGGTGTTACTGATCCTCGGATTCTTTCTAAATAACAAGGCGTGGAGACTCTTCACTGGCTGCTGCATAAACCCCAAGAAAATCTTCCCCAGGAAACGCTGCTGCCGCTTCTTCTATGTCCTGGGCCACATCACACTGAGTTCCTTGGTGGCTCCAGTGATGTGGCTCTCTGTGGCTCTGCTTAATGGGACGTTTTACGAATGTGCCATGAGCGGGACGAGGAGCACAAGGCTCCTGGAGCTGATTTGCAAGGGCAAGCCCAAAGAATGCGGGGAAGAGCTGTACAAGGTCTCCTGTGGCAGAAGCAGCATGGCACCCACAGACAACGAGGAGGTGAAGTTGTCCCTGCAAGCACAGTCTCAGGTAAGGACAAGTGTCACTCTTTGTTCCAGGTGTGAACTTGGAGATTCCCCTCTGTCTTCCTGTCTGCCAGGCCAGAGTTTAAGTCTTGCCGGAATATTTTGACACGAAGTGGAAATTAAAACAGGATGGCGCATTAAGACGATCTCAGGAAAAGCTTTTTAGGGACAGGATGGATCAGTAAAATTGCTGATTGGGTAGTGTAGTCTCCATTTCCAAAAAGAAAATACCCTCTGGGTTATGCATATGTAAATACTTAAGTGCTCAAAACCATCTCTCTGGGTTGACTTTGTAAATAATGCAGAACGAAAAACCACACACTGAGTGCTAACCCCAAGCTGTAATTAAGCATTACTGCCTTCTATCGATTACTTATTTTCAAGCTGGTTTCTCAAAAATCACAGACACAACTTCTTCATCCACTGAAATACAGCTGAGCCAAATCAGCTTCTCCTTCTCAAAGTAGCATGTGGTGTAATTAGCATGGAAACTCGCTTGAGTGACCACACTGGCCACTGCTGCTTGTGTGCGTGGATGCTGCAGGGATCGAGAGTTTCCCAAATGAAAGAGGGACCAAGCAGTCTTTAAACGGCCTTCAGTGAAGAGTGGCCGTATTCCCTAGAGAGATGATGACTTTTCTCTCTCTGCTGTACAGCTAAAGATGCTCTCGCCATTTTTTAGAAGCTCAGAATTTGGAGCATTGTTTTACTTGCGAGAAGTAATGTACAGTTTCAGCTAATCAACACAGGGAAGTAACTTATCATTTGGCCAGGTATATGAACAGAGATCTCGATGTATATCTCTGGCCTGGCCTTGAGATAAAGTTAATTTCTGAGGTCAGAAGAAGCACTAGGAGTAGATAGGAGCAATAGCAGTGGACATTTCTCAGGAAGGCTATTACATTAGCACAGGCACACTATACTTTTACTGTTTTAGAAAGAACTTGCGGGTATAACAAACACATCGAAGCAAAGTTGGCTCCTACCATCTAGAGTAGTAATAAAATCATATTCTTCTTAAACTAGTAAGCCAAAGAATGTTCCTAAATAAACTCCTTGGTTTAATGCACAAAGCAAAGATTAGATGGAACATGTCAGGCTTCTGAATGCATTCCGTCTTTTGTTGAAGGAAGGTATTAATTACTAATGTTATCATAGTACAAATGACACATGGTTGACATCCGCAGGCACCAGGCTCCATCCAGCCAATACCAAGTCTAAACGCTCATCACTGTGTAAGCTCTTCTTTAAATCTAAGCCCAAAGAAAATATGCACATCTGGTTATAACTTAGCTTGGCCACAATGACCTGTTGACTTTTCAGTAGAAAAAGGACTTGGGGTTAAGACCTACAGGAGGATACCCAAGAGATGTGGGTGAAGGGAGATGTGGCAATAGCAGGTGCTGACTGTGAGGTTCAGATGGCAGCAAGCATCACACAGTTCAAAACAATAATTGGCCACGTGGGCGGAGGTGGAAAAGTGCATTCATTCATGGGTGGGTGGGGCAGAGCAACAAGAAACCCAGCTGGGTGACTCTGTTCTTCAGGACGGTGGAACGGAGTAGTGGAAAGAGCGCAGCCTCGCAGTCAGCTGACCTTGAATCCTGACGCTGTCCCTCCCCAGCTCTGTGGTGTAGAACTCTGAACCCCATTTTTCTCATAGTGGGGGATGGTGACACCTACTCTGGGAAGTTATTTAGAGATAATGGACATAAAGAGACATAAAGTTTCTAGAGCATTATTAAATATTTCAAGATGCAGGATTTGGGGAAAAAGACAAATAGTCACCATTGGAGGCTGGGCTTGGCACAATCTCCTCATTCTAGCTGGAGTTCTAGGTGCTGTGGGTCTGGGAGGAGGACAAGACTTAGCAGTGAGAAACAGCCAATGCTGAGGTTGTACAGAAAGCAAGAGCCGATCTGAGCTAATCTCATAGTTTCTAACTCATCAGGATTAGCTAAGGTAGGTGTGGGGAGATAGCTTCAAACACAGCAGGCCCAGTCACAATGAAGATGCTGAAAGAAAGGAAGGTCTGAGGGAGTCGGCCACAAGCCCACCGACGGCTGAAGAAGAGCAGGAGGACGCTATGACAGTGACTGTGCCTCACCTGCTACCATAGGACAGCAAGAGACACTTGCAAAAGAGTGGATAGCAGGTGGAACTCATGAGCTTCTTGCCCAGTATTGTTTCTTTGGGTTCCCCCAAATATCTTCTGAGATGGGTAACCTTAAAATCATAATAGAGAATGAGGTACAGGGAACACCACTCGGGTGTTTTGCCTGACGAATACCAACTCAGAAATGGCACTTATGCGGGGTGAGACCCTTCTAGTAACCCCTGAGTTTGGGAACCACTGAGCTAAAGTTTATTTTGGCTCTCTTATGATCTGAG